TTCATATATATATATATTTTTTTTTTCCTTTTTTGTTACTGGGGATCAAATTGAGGACCTTGTTACTTTCGAGTCAGGCAGCAGAACCACTGAGCTCAGAACCACTGTACGTCAAACTCAATGGGCAAATGAACTCATTTTTTTTAATGGTGATGTGGGGGATTGAACTTGGGGCTTCACCTGTGCTAGGTAGGCACTCTACCATTGAGCCGCTTCATCAGTACAAATGCACTCATTTTAACAAAAGTTAAGTGGATGAAATCATGGATATCTAAATCACTCCATATTTACTTTTATTTATTTATTTTGAGACAGGGTCTGGCTGTGTAACTTAGGCTGGCCTCAAACTTGCAGTGATCCTTCTGTCTCAGCCTTCTGAATGCTGGGATTACAGGTGTGCACCACCATGCACAGCTCATATTCACTAAAGTGTTTCATAGCAGAGGTCTCTAACTTCTTTGTGACATTTGTGGGAGAAATGACAAAGAATATTATTGTTCCCAGTATATAGATATAGAATAACTTGTCACAGCTTGAACAGAAAGAGTTTGACCCAAGTCTTCTGTCTCTTCCCTGTCTTGCTGAATAGTGATTATAAGCTTTGGACACCTAGATTTGAGTCTGAACTCTGTCTCTTAAATTTTTTTTCTTTTATTGTGTTTATTGGTACATTTTGGGTATACAGTTTAGTTTGTCTCTTAAATTTTTAATGCAGGTGTAAGTTTTATAGCCTGAGACATTTGTAGATAATTAGTATTTCTATCTCAAATATATGGTTGTTATTCTACCTAATTTAGGGAGGATGTTGTAAGGGTAATGAATGTAAAGCTCAGAACTATCATTACATGGTAAACAAGCTATTAGTATTATTATCACTTTCTCTTGAAATAAATAGATAAGCCACTGAATCAAGAATTCAGTCTTGGGTCAGAGATTTAGCTCAGTGGCCCTGCACCTGTCTTGCAAGTACAAGGTTCTGAGTTCAATTCCCAGTACTGAAAAAAAATGTGGTGCCACACACCAGTAATCCTGGCACTTGGGAGGTTGAGGCAGGAGGATCACTGCAAGGTTGAAGTCAGCCTAGACTACATGGTGAACTCAAGATCAGTCTGAACTACACAGTGAGGCCCTGTCTTAAAATAAATAAATGAATAAAAACAAATGAAAATGCTGCTGAGGATATGAAGAAAAAAAATCTTTATTTTTAAAAAATTCAGTCTTCAGGGCCAGGGCTTTAGCTCAGTGGTTCCGCCACCTGCTTTGCAAGTGCAAGGTCCCAAGTTCGATCTCTGGCAACCCCCCTCCCCTCCAAAAGTTCAGTCTTTGTTTTAATTCATGGCACAGACATATTGGATAAACAGGACTCGTAATAACCAGCTCCTTTCATGTGAGCTTTCAAAATAGTTATACCATTGAATGGCACCATGTACGTTGCTGAGTTTCACAGTGAGATGAATGTTACAGGCTGTGCTCAAGGGAAACTTGATGAGCAGAGTCCCTGAACAGAACTGCTCTGCTGCTGCACAGACCTGGAGGCTTAGGTACCGAGAAATCCTAGCTGAGTTATCAGAGACACTGATTTGCTTGTGATAAGTGGTTCTTGCTGGTCTCAGCCTTCCAGCATGGGCAGCCTTCCAGCCAAGTCTGACTTCTGTGGTCACTGGCTGGAATTTCCATTATCTCTCAGTAACAGCTTTTCAAGAACAAAGTAAATCGGATATTCCCTTCTTCATAATACACTGTGATATCCCGTGTATTACCCAAAACTCCTTAGACCCAAAGGGTTAGGCTCTAGTTTGCTTTGAGGACAGTTGTATTGTGTATAAGGTACGTGGGCCAGGTTTTGCCGGCGAAAGTTTGCAGTGCTTTCTCATTCATGCTGGTGGCATTTTGGTTTTTGGTGAGTAGAAAATTGTTCCTTGCTTCTTATATGAAGCATCTCTCTGTCCAGTGGTCTCCAGCTCAGGTTTGAACTCACTCTGAGCCCACATAATATCTTACTGTTCAGTCATTTGAACAATTTTGGTCCAAATTTGTGGCAGTATTGCTTAGTTTCCATTTCCAAGATCACAAACTTTATTGAACAAAATGTATAAAGTTGATATTTTATACATGTTTAAAAATTATTGTTATTGGTAAATTTTAGATATACATAATGATCACATTTATCATAGAGAATCTGTACCTCTACATAATATATCTTGATTCTTTCTTCTCCAGTTGCCTCCCTTCCCTTCAACCCATTTCCCTCCTTGTTTACAACAGCCAGTCTCCATTTTTGCCTTGTATATTTTTTTCTTTTCCCTTCCTTTCTTTCTTCCTCCCCCTCCCTTGTTCTTCCCATTTCAACATTTTCTTCCTTCTTCCCAATATCTATTATATATTTTGGTTCTTATTTGCCCTTTTGGTTTCTCACATCAGAGAAACAATGTGAATTATTTATTTTTGGTACCAAGGATTAAACTCAGGACTTTGCACTTGCGATGCAAGTGTTGTGCCACTGAGCTAAACCCTGGCAACAATGTGAGATTTAAACATATGTGTCCTCTTTATTTCACTGAAGAGTATGGTCTCAAGGTACCTAAAAACGTTGGAAGTTATCCTTATGGCTGAATAGTACCCCATTGTGTAAAAAAACCTTTATCCATTTATCTTTTGATGGGCATTTGGGCTGTTACCAAATTTAGCTGTTACAAACTGTGCTTCTGTAAATGTGTGTGCATATATCATTGTGATGTGATGTTTCTAATTCTCCCTAAAAGGGAGATAGCTGGGTCAAATGGGATCTCTAATCCTAGATTTTGAGAAATCCCACAGTGGTTGCACAAGGCTACACTTCCACCAACAGTAGAGAAAGGTTCCTATTTCCCCACTATTTGTTGTTTGTTGATTTCTTCATGCTAGCCATTATTTCTGGAGTGAGATTGAATCTCAGCATTGTTTTAATTTGCATCTCTCAAATCACCAGTGATGTTGAACAATTTTTCATGTATTTACTTGCTGTTTCTAATTCTTCATCTGAGAAGTGTTTATTTCAGATGCCCATTTTTTGGATTGGGTCTTTAAATTTGGGAGTCTCATTTTTCTGAGTTCTTATATATTCTAGATATTAATTCTTTGCCTGAAGAACAGCTTGGAACATTTTTTCCCACTCTGTGCATTGTCTCTTCACTCTGCTGGTGGTTTCTTTTGCTGTGCCAAAGATTTTTAATAAGATGAGTTTCCACTTATTAATTCTTAGTGATATTTCTTATGCAATTGGGGTTTTGTTCATAAAGTCTGCCCACACCGGTTTATATATTCTAGATATTAATTCTTTGCCTGAAGAACAGCTTGGAACATTTTTTCCCACTCTGTGCATTGTCTCTTCACTCTGCTGGTGGTTTCTTTTGCTGTGCCAAAGATTTTTAATAAGATGAGTTTCCACTTATTAATTCTTAGTGATATTTCTTATGCAATTGGGGTTTTGTTCATAAAGTCTGCCCACACCGGTATCTTTGAGAGTTTTACCTATTCTATCTTCCAGCAGATTTACTATTTCTGTTTTACTTTTTAGATCTCTGATCCATTTTTATTTGAGTTTAGTGTATGGTGAAAGATATGGGTCAAGTTTTAATCTTTGGCATGTGGAAAGCCAGTTTTTCTATCACTATTTATTAAAGAGCTATCTTTGTTCCAGTGAAGGAGTTTGGCCCCTTTCTCAATGAAATGAATTTTAGGATTGCTTTCTCTAATTTTATGAGGTATGCTATTGGTATTTTAATTTTTTTCTAGAGCCTCATTCGTCTGTGTTGTTATTTCTATGTTACTATTTCAGAGAGATCAAGTGGGTGGTTTTATAATTGTTCTACCTCACTGCCCCCTGGGTTTGCCTTGGGCAAGCTAGAAGTCTGGGGTCACATCTTGCTTCTGTGTCCTCTTACCTTGTATATATTTTTAAATTTTAGTTTCTGCATTGATGCTTATAAATTGCTTATGGTAGGTAGCTTTATTGCTAGTTACAATGGATCTCTGCAGAAGATGCCAATCTCCTGCTCAGTGCTGTGACACAAGGTGAGAAGAAATACTCATAGAGACAGAATCCGAGTGAAACAGGGATCTGGATGGTCAGTGCTGAGCAAGCAAAGACACCCCCCATCCCACAATCAGCCAGAACCACTGGTATTGATTGGTGACACAATCATTATTAGGTTGAGTGGAGGGGGCTACTGTGGTTGCTCCAGAGAAGTTGCTGATGCAGGTAAGGCTTGCCTTGCAAGAAGGCAAGGAAGGACAAAGCATTCTTGTGTTAGGAACCAAACAGGCCAGATATAGGTTGTGGTTAATGATTAACCTGTCTTTACAGTGAAGAAGGTTTCATTTCTGGGAACAGAATTTGGGTAAAAGTCACTCTGACCTTGGCTATCCCATGTTATGTCATATCAGAGCCCCACAGCTTCATGGGCTGTTGCTATGGTCTCTGCTAGGGCCCTTGGTGCAGGGAGAATTTGTAATCTGTGTACCACTGCCGTGTCCCTATGAGTCACATAGGCTTTGGTCAGATTCGCTTTTTCAAACAAGCCAACTGGGTGGTTAACTCTTTATAGCTTGCACTGCTTACAGTCTGTTTTGGGCATAATCAGTAGGACAGTCTACCATAGCTAGTATTGAGAATTCATTAAGAAATGATTACTTTTCAGAGATGTCTTCTAGGTGCAGCTGGCTTTTGGCTGTTGAGTCTGTTGCAAGATCCTACCTCTTCAGTTTATTAGGGAGGAGAAGTTGTTGCTCATTTGGCCTAGCCCCTGGTTCTTTGGTACTGAGCTATAGTATTGTTTGTGATCCTCAGGCAATCTTGGTCTTGGCGTATAGGGAAGAAAACTGATTAAAACCACTCTATCAGCTTGGCCAAAGTAGTACAATCCTTAAATAACAATAGCAGCAAGCACAACCTAAAAAATGACAAACTGTGGTTAACTATTAATTTACTACCTCTAACCATACAAATAAGATTTGTAGTCCTCTAACAAAATCTAAAGCTAACCAATATTAAAAAATGGGCATCTGAGATGAATACATCTGAAATGAACAGACACTTCTCAGATGAACAAGTGCAAAGGGCAAATAAATACATAAAAAAATTCAACATCACTGGTTATTTGAGAGATGCAAATTCAAACACTGAGATTCCATCTCACTCCAGATAGAGTGGCTATTATCAAGATATCAACAAACAACAAATGCTGGTGGGCTCTAGGGAAAAATGAACAACCTTTTCCACTGTTGTTGGGAGTGTGGACTTGTGCAAACATTGGAAATCAAAGTGGAGATTCCTAAAAAAACTAGGATTAGAGATTTGACCCAGCTATTCCCCTTCTGGGTATCTTCCCAAGAGAATTAAAAGCATCATACCGCGGTGATACATATGCACCCATGTTTATAGAAGCACAGTTTGTAATAGCTAAATCTTGGAAACAACTCAATAGCCCATCAACCAATGAATGGATAAAAACAATGTGTTTTTTAATGTAATAGAGTACTATTCAGCCATAAAGAGGATAAAATTGAGACATTTCTTGGTAAATAGATGCACCTTGATACTCTTAAATGAAATAAATCAAACACATATGCATAGATATCACATTGTCTGTCAGGTGTGAGAAACAAAGTATAAATAAGGATCAAAACATGTAAGAAATATTGTGAAAGAGGAAGAAATTGTTCAAAATAATACTGAGTGTCAAGTACTTTGTTAATAATTAAAATGTTTTTGGGCCAGGGATTTAGCTCAGTGATTCTACTGCCTGCTTCGCCAGGGCAAGGTCCCGAGTTCGATCCCTGGTAACAACAACAACAAAAAAATGTTTTTTCAAAAGAGGTATAGTTTTCTTAGGAAATGGATGATAGATTAGCAATTGAAAACATATTCTTTTAAGATTATGATATACAGTGTATTTACCTTTGTTCTCTAATTCTTTTTTATGAAGTTTTATTTTCATAGATGTGCTTTTAAATTTTATTTATTAATGTCTACCCATATTACATTAAAATAAAAGATATTTTTTAAATGCAGGAAATTATATGCAGTACATATTCCCTCAATAGAGCAATTTTACCCTCTGTGAGAGAATTTGAAAGGGGTAAAAGGAAAACATAGAAAAAGATGAGAAAGATTAAAAGCAAGGCTGGAGGACAAAGGAAGACTACATAAGCTTTGGCAAACTGGTAAATAAACAGGAAGGAGAGAAAAAGGGAAGAGACAAGAACAGAACAAAACAACAAAAAAAAAAAACTAGAAACAACTGTCATGCTCGTATAAAAACAAGAACAAATAATCAAAAACAAACAAACAAACAAACAAACCCAAGTGCTGGGTGTGGTGTTGCACACCTGTAATCCAGCACTGTAGAGCCTGAGTCAGGAGGATCACTGTGATTTTGAGGCTAGCTTCAACTACATAGTGAGTTCATGGCCAGCCTGACTGCATATTGAGACCCTGTCCCAAAAAAAAGGAAGGGAGGAAAGAAAAAAGTCCACTATCGGGCACGTCTCTGCTGTCATGGGCAGACAAGAGGGGGAGCAGAGCTCAGATTGATCCCAACAAGCCTGCAGAACTGCAGTGGGGTGGTGAATGATCTCAGCCAGCTTGTGCATTCAACTCCACTGAAATTCAGGCTGATTCTGGAGTCTGCTGTGAGGCTGGACCCTAAGTTGTTCAGCCCACAACACTCTTGGTTCCTCCTGCTGGCTTGAACTCATGTCTCCCTGACCCTGGCTGGCTGTCTCCCAAGGCGATGCCCTCACCCTGACACTCAGAGCCGCTAGATGGAACCAACCTGTGGCTGCTCTGAGGCCTGGGCTCAGCTGGCCCCTTTCCAAAATGGTGACTGGTCAGTCTATTGGGGACATCTGAACTGGAATCACTCCCAGGCCACTGGAGCCCACAGTGTCTGCTGCTCCACTGCACTGGTGCATTTCTGCATGGAAGCCTCTGGACTCACATGTAGTAACTGTGCCTGTGTAGGTTTGGACTGTCTCACACCGTGAGCTGGGATGAAACTTTTAACCAGGGATTAGTTTTCCAAAGTAATTTCTAAAAGAAAACTATCATTATTTGCAACATTTAGGATGTGTAAATGAAGGAGGCAAACAAGGTGTTTCATGCCAGTGACTTAATTTGGGGATTTTTGATTAAAAATTGGAAATGTGGTTAGAATGTGGTTATGTTCTGGAAAAGTATCTGAAATTTTTTCAGGGCAAAGAATGATTAAAAAAAAAAAAGAATGGTTTTAGTTAAATAATACCCAAGAAGCTTCAGACTTCCTGTACAATGTAGAAAGAAAAAGTCATCACTGATTTCAGAACTCTGACTTTAACACCAAGTCCATCCCTACACGAGGGAACTTTTGGAACTAATTCTATTTTGAAACCATTACAGTGTGCCCAGCGTCATGCAAGGCAGGAGGGATAAGAGGGTGAATGAAGCAACTTCGTCAACTTCACATGCTAGGGCTGTGCCGGGGAAGAAATGAGTAGTTGAACAGATGAAGGAGGACTGTGAAGGTAGTTTTCCTCTCCCTCTCCCTCTCCACCAGCCTCCTTCTCCCTCCACCCCCTCCGTGAGACAGGGACTCTCTGGAGTTCAGGCTATGAACTTACTCTGTAGCCCAAGCTGGTCTCAAACTCACTGCAATCCTCCTGCCTCAGCCTTGAGAGTGTTGGGGTTCTGTGTGCTACCATGCCGACTTTAGGGTAGTGTTTCAAGAAAATTATTTAGCCTGCAAACTTTGACATGCTAAATGTCTAGTCCACGTGTGCCGCGAAACATGGCCTTGTCACAGCTAGATGAATGACTGCTGAGCCGTGGTGGGATGGGGAGAGTTCTGTCCTACTGATGTGAAGAACGGGCTACTCGGATTCAAACCCTTGCTCTTACTTGCACTTGCCCAACTCCAAAACCCTTCTGCAGAAATTGTGGCATCATCATGGAGTATATGCAGCCCCAGCCTAACAGAGGGGAATGAGTTCTCCAACATGGAACCTGATACTGAGCGTTTAGAGCAAATGACAACAATGTGGAAGAAATTGCCATATTGCGTACTCTGCTGCCTACCACCCTAACTGGTCCTCATTTTGTAGGTCAGGTGCTTTTCTTGGAAGCTGTATACGCAGGAGGAGGGAGAACTTTTGTAAGGTTGTAGCTTGGAGCAGGAAGAGCTCAGGCTGCCAGACTGGGTTACTACTTCTGAGTATCCCAAGGCCCAGCCCTGTGACTTTCATGGGAAGCTCTGCCAGGCCCCACCCAAAGGGCTTTGGATGCTTACACTTCGTAGGTCTGAGGTGCCTATCCTGCTGCCATACAGGGAGATGGCCCTGGAGGAAGCCACTGTCACCTCTCCTGGGGCAAAGGGTTGGCCCTGGTCCTGTAGCAAAAGGCTCCCTCGGACCACTTCAGCCCATGTGGGGCAGAACCTCATAAAGGTTTCTTAAACCTTTATGTCACAAATGGTGGGGCAGGGTGGAAAGTACAAGGTTATCAAGCACTTGCAGCTAGTGGCTACCGGAAAGATTCCAGCACGTTTGGTTGGAACATTACCGGCCTAGGTCTTGGTGACCAAGCCTTCTATCGTTTTATTTATACTTCACTTCTGCTCACAAGGCCCCTTGTGTGGCCACATGTGTGACTACTGGATTTAATGTCTCCACTTCCGGAGTGGGCCCAATAACCAGTCCACCTGAACTCAGAGCTCCTGGGGCCCAAATTTTGTATTTTTTTTTCCCTACAAGTCTAATCTCCAAAAGGAATCACTCCATGCCCTTAGTGCCCCCACAGAGCTGGGGGGATTCGAGTACCTCGGGTCCTCTGTGCCTACAAACATGTTGCTTCCACGTAAAGAGGCGATGGGGGAGCTGTCGCCAGATGAGTTTACTGCTCCACATCAGGTCTGCAGGACCAGTTTGCCCAGCAAGAGAGGCTCTCAGAGGCAGTTTCAGGTGGGGATCAGAACCAAGCTGTAGCTTTGCCTCCTCCACTCAAAAGGAAGACAGATTTCTGCTCTAGAGGAGGCTATACAGGCCACCAGTCACTTTTACTTGTTCCACCTCCACTGAGTAAAAATTGGATGGCACCACAGTTTGTTTCCCCCCTGAACCTGAAGAAGGATCCAGCTCAGCACTGGCAACTTGCTAAGGAGGTTTTTGGAACTTTTTATCAATCGGCAAAACCTAACCGGTAGAAAGAAATCTTGCAGGATTATAACATAGACCCAAGTATGGATACAGCTGACCACGACAGCCTTCATCTGGGGTATCAGGAGAACCCAGAAGAGTCTGCACAGCCCTGTGAGCACAAGGAATCCCCACAATTCCAGCTGGAGGCCCAAATTCAAAATCCAGAGCCTCCCCAAATCCAGGAACCTATACCTCAGGGAGAAGCCTCATGTCAACTCTCACAGCCCCCTGAGAAAGCTGAACCTTTTTTGAGCCATCAGAAGGCCCGCAGTCAGCATAAACTTGCTACTGAGAAGGATGTAAGTCAGCTATCAGGGCATCAGGAGGCCAATGTTCCATCTCCAAGTGGCCGTGAAACTCATCCCTTGTTTTTGCCAATTGTCAACTTGCAACCTGAGGATGTGGGGGCTGTGGCAGCTGCAGAGATAGATGAGGAGGCTCATCCTACTCCTAGGCAGCAGCAGTCCCTGGGGCAGTCTTCAGAGAATCCTGAGGACGTAGAACCATCTCTGTCCTCAAAGCCCACTGAGGGTGTCACACTCTCACCAGTCCAGCAAGAGCTCTCCGCTCAGCCTCCAGACTCCTCAAAGAAGAGTAGTTCTTTTCTACTGGCAGATAGCATGATATTTTCTTCTCTAGATGTGGAAACAATACTCACAAATTGGCATTTAGTGTTGCCTAAGTCGATAGTTGCACATGTGGAATTGGAGGTTACTGCAACTGCAAAGTCCCCTCTGGAGGCAGAGCCTTCTGCCGCCCAGGATTCCTCCCTGTTCAGCCCACAAGCTCAGTTCCAGAAGCTGAACGAGTAGAGCTTTCTCCAATCCAGACTGATCCTGCTACCCTGCCTGCAGAATTCCTTGAAAAATTTGAATCTTCTTCAGCTGAAGGAGAAGTTGTAGCTCAGAATCCAGTGCCCCGAGAGAGTTAGATTCTGCTGCAACTCAGGAGGAGTTCCCCAGGGAATCTTCCGCAGTGCCACTGCCAGCCTCTCCTCAGGCTCAAGAGCCAGTGCTGTATGAGGTGACAGATCAGCATCCAACAGTGAACCGTGACACAATCCCATCTCGGGATATGGGCTTTACCTTAAGCCCCGAACTCACCACAGAGCCTGTCCATTCTGTGGGCCTGCAGGAGGCTATCGTTTCTCCTCTGAAACACCCTGAGGTGACACTTGCACATCCAGTCCCGGGGCAGGCTCAGCGGCCCAACCTGAATCCTGGCATGATTCCACCATTGAACCTTAAATATGCCAGAACTTTTCTACCTACTTCAGGGGTCCAACTTTCCCTGACTTTGCAGGAGACCCCATCTCAGCCTCCAGAACCATCTATGGAGCCCGTAGCTGGACCTACAGAACCACATGAGATGGCAAACCCAGAACCATTAGGTCAGCACTCAGCTGAGCCTCCAGCATCACCCAGTGTCACGGCACCACCACTGCACACGGGCTTTATCCTAAGTCCAAAACTCACCACAGAGGCTGACCATTCTGTGGGCCTGCAAGATGTGACACAGGAACATCCAGTCCTGGGACAGTCTCAGCAGCCAGACCTGAGTTTCCTGACATGATTGAAGCCTTTGAACCAGGAACATCCCAAAACTGTTCTACCTACTTCAGGGTCCAACTTTCCTCCACTTTGCAGAAGACCCCATCTCAGCCTCTAGCATCACCCAGTGTCATGGCACCACCACTGCATACGAGCCTTACCGTAAGTCCTGAACTCACCACAGAGCATGTCCATTCTGTGGGTCCGCAGGAGGCTATCATTTCTCCTCTGAGACACCCTGAGGTGACACTTGCACATCCAGACCTGGAGCAGGCTCAGCAGCCCAACCTGACTCCTGGCATGATTCAGCCTTTGAACCTGGAACATTCCAGAAGCTGAACTTTCTCCAATCCAGACTGATTCCTCAAGCTCGGGTTTCTCCAGGTGGGAAACACAGCATACTCCCTTGTCAGGAACATGTGTTCCTTTTTGAGAAGAGAGACAGTGAGCAGATAGAGCATTTGTTGTTGTTGTTGTTCCCAAAGGACAAGTAAGCAGATGGTGATTAGTGCTTGCTCTGAAATGTGTCAAAGGTATAATCTCCAACTATGTCACCCACATACTTACCTGATTATCTGTCCAGAATCCACCTCTCTCCTCAGTAGCACAGAATGAGCAAAGAAAAGGGGGAAATTGTGAAGGGAGCTCATACTAAGAGGGATGCAGATAGCGTGCTTCTCTCTGAAAACACATTTTTCATACCTCGGACGCTCGCTTGGCCTCAATGATGCAGTGGTTTGGAGTGTGGAGTCCACGGCCAAGAGGCCCTACTTCTGTTCTTTAGTAGCTGTGTCACATTTTCTCTGAGCTTCAGTTTCTCCATTTGTAAAGTGGGAATTACTTAAACATACATCTAAGTATTGTTAAAGGGATTAAATAGCATAATTTATGGAAATGATCAGTAAGCACAGTGTCCAACACCCATTGAAAGTGTTTGTTTTGGTTACCTATGGCTGAATAACAAACTGTCCCCAAAACTTTCTGGTTTAAAATGATAACTATTTTATTATCCCTCATGATTCTGTGGGTCGACTGAACTCAGGTGGGCAGTTCTGTCGCATGTGAGGCCAGCTGGAATTGCAGCCATCGAGGGCTCAGCTGACTGCAGACTAACTGTGGCGATGGATAGGGATAGCTGGAAGGCGGAGCTCAGCTGGAATGACTGCTTCTTTCCTCTCCTTGGAGTATCACAGCATCTCCTCCACACGATCTAGATCTAGACAGTAAGGTAGTTGTACTTACTACGTGGCAGATTTCTTCACTACAGAGCAAAAGTAAAAGATCCCAGCCCTTCACACTTGGCCCAGAATTGGCACGTTTTATCTTCTGGCACATCCTCTTTATTAAAATGACTCATCAGTTCAGTCCAAATACAAAGTGGGAGGAGAGTACACGGGTATGAATATTGGGAGGCACTGTCCGTTGGGGAGTACCTTTGGAAAGCAACTACTACATCGGTTAATAATATTTTCAGTGTTGATGTTATGGCTTGTGTATTGCTGCCCCCCAAAAGCCTCATGCAGTCATGGGGGGGGGCTTTCCTGGAATTGATTCATGGTATAATGCTATACTCAAGGGCCCTAGGACTGAGGGTGTGAGAGCTACCTGCCCTAAGTAATCTTCATAAAATAAAGGGGGCAGAAAGGTGCCGAAAGAAAGCTCCCTTGTTTCTTTTGTTGCCTTATGGCCACCATGAACTGTTTCTCCTCAGCAAGGCCTGTCTGCCCCACCACCCTGCCTTGGAGTCAGCTGATGATGGACTGAAACCTCAGTGAGCTGTGAGCCAAATAAACCTTTCCTCCTTTAACTGTGGGTATTTTGTCTCAGCAAAGAGTTAAAAAAGTAACTAAGACATTTGGAATTGCAAATAGGTTCAATTCCTTTACCCTCTTTTTAGAAAGATCAATTCATGTTGGATTTGCACAGTTAGTGAATAAATATTTTGGACTAAAGTCATTTAGAATCATGAGATCAGCACTCTATACTCCTCTAGGATGGGAGCTATGTTTCTGTTGGTCCCATATCATACCCCACAGGCCTAGTAAAGGGCTCTGTATGTCGTACTATTAAATAAAAGCTGCACATTTTTGTTGGATATTAATATTTCCATAAAGGCTTTACTTTGTTAATATTTTATTTGCATATATTTTCCTCAACCCATTCTCCTTGCATATTTCCATCTCATTTTATGTTATATATAACTGAATTTTTTTAAAAAAACAGGTTATTTTTTATGGTACAGAGATTGAACTCAGGAGAGTATACAGTTAACTATGTGCTTAACTGTTTAATAAATTACCCTCCACACTGAACTACATCCTAAGTCCTTTAATTGTCTGCCAATTCATTTATCTATGTATTTAGAGACAGGGTCTCAGTAAGTCACTAAGTTGCCCACACTGGGCTCAAACTTGAGAACCCCTGGCCTCAGGCTCCCAGAGTCCAGCATTACAGGTATGCACCACCATGGCCAGCAAATGCATAATCTTTTTACTGGTGTGTTCATCTCTCTTCATTCATTGTATCACAAATGTATTTGGATTTATTTCCACCATCTTATTTAGTGAGTTTGGCTTTTAGCCATTCTTTTTATTTGCTTCTTTTCTTCCTCCTCTTGTTCCTGCTACTAATTTGAAAGTTAAGCATTTTGTCTTTTTTTAGCAGTTACTCTTCAACTTTGAACATTCTTGTTGAAAAGTCCGAAATTAACCATTATTTCTGTCTTCTATCCTAGACAAAACTCAAGACTTTGGTATTTAAATTCTAGTTACCTCTCCCATCTACAAAGTTATTTTTGTCTAGAATTCTATTCCCACCTTGCTTTTAAAACTCCCCAAAGTAGGTATAATGTCTCTTTTTATTTTTAGTTAAAATTTATGATAAAATTTACTTTCAGGTGTAATGTACTCTGGGTCTGACAAATGCTTAGTATAGTGAGAGTAGCAAGATCACCAATACAATCAAGATCCAAAGCAGTTCTTCCCCAAAATTTTCCTTTACATTTCTGCTTTGTAGTCAAAACTTCCCCCTTTTCCTTGATCTCTAATGACCACTGATCTGGTCTGGTCTCATGGTTTTCCTTTTCCTGAATGTTAAATAAATAGAATCATACATCACTTCTTCAATGTAGTTTCTTTCACTTAGCTTAATGTATCCAATTTATTTTGCATATCAGTTCATTGGTTATTTCTAATGAATATTGCTCTTCCACTGAGATACACCCCAACTCTTTTTATTTGATACATTATTAAGTTACCTAGGCCAACCATGAATTTATGATCCTCTTGCCTCAGCCTCCCAAGTAGCTAGGAGGATTACAGGTGTGCACCACCATGTTTGTTTGTTTTGGTTTTGGTTTTTTGAGACATGGTTTCATTATGTCGCCCAGACTGGCCTCACATTTGTCTTTGAGAGGAACACCTCTTGCCTCAGCTTCCCAAGTGCTGGGATTACAGGTGTGCACTATAGTCAGCCTTTTTAGTTCCTTTTTATTGCTGAATAGTAATTTTTCATCAGAGGCAGGCAAAGATGTGGTTTTGGCCATGTGGAAGCTTTCATTCAAAAGCTTGCTCAGTGGTGCCGCCACCTGCCTCGCAAGTGCAGGGTCCCAAGTTCAATTCCTGGTACCAGAAGCTCACTCTTGGAATAAAGCAGAACCCTGATGTAAACTTCTTTAGGCAAGAAAGGGATTCATCAGCTCCCCAAATTGGGACATTCCAAAGCTCCAAGTGTGGCTTGGTGTAGGGGCCTCCCTGATCTTTCTCTCTACCTCTCCCCATCCCAACAGTCTCTCCAGATCTCTCTACCTCTAGCTCTTGGCAACCTTCATTCTTAGGAAGCCTGTCCATGTAGCTGGAATGAAAGCCTCTAGATTATGGAGTCTTGACCTCAGAGGCAGTGATCAGTTAGGATTGGGGTCAAAGTGGCCCTGCCACTTCAGTGTCTAGACCCTTTCCCAGATGCTTCTCCCAGCAACTTCTGCCCATATCTTGTTGATCAAACTCAGTGACATGACAACCCCTAGCTGCAAGACAATCTGAAAAGACAAGTACCTCCAACTAGTTTCGTTTGTGAGCTCTAGGAGAATGGATGGAAACCAATGTCAGGGAACCAGCAGTGTCTACCAGGGAAGGTTTTGATTGGCTCTACATGGTCACGCGTTGATCCCTAAAAGGGAAGCCAATCAAATCTGCAGCTGACTACTCTTCTAAACCCAAAAAGAGGACTCTGCCCCCACAAGCCAGAAACAGATAAGGCTGTGCCGCACCCCTAGTGTCGAGGCATGGGTACAGCTCCCGCCCTCCATTTCCACAATCTACTTCCCATCCCCTCCCTTTCCTCCCTTCCAATTAAATATTTTAGAACCAAGAGCCTGCCATGCAATGTCGGAATGGTTCACTACGAATGTCTTACACCTCTACACCCAACACTGCTGGGCTCACCCCCAGGCTCCTCCCACCCCACCCCACCAGAGCATCTCCAGGGCAGTCCGGGAGGCAGGCTGGTGCAGAGAAAGGTCGATGGTGCTGGCCAGAAGAGAACCAGCCTCTCTGAGACTCCCTGAGGCACCTTCAGAGTTACTAAAGCTCAGCCCTTTGCCTGCATGGTAGGAATAGAGGACCTAATTCAAGGGGTGGGGAAGGTCACTGGAAACACAAGAAAATAACTTAGCCTGGCTTCCAGTAAAGGGTAGCAGGAAACCAGTGGTACCGAGGGCCTGGGTCTTCCTCTGAGCGAAGGGGACACCCTCACCCCACCCGGGAAGTAACACTGCACCTGTCATAAGAGGGGTTTCCCAGAGCACGTGCACACACCTTTATCACTTGCATTTGTTTCTTTTTCTCTACATTAATGTTCTTCTCTGATTTGACTCATCTCTGGACCTGACTTTATATTTAACTGATTTAGTTATTACTTTATTTTGCTCATCACTCCCCTGCACCCTTCCACCTGGTTCTGGGGACAGAATCCAGGGCCCCATCCATGAAGCACTGCTTGAGAAACTGGCCTGAAGACACAAAAGGGGTCATAGTCATAACAGTGAATGTCAAATGCTTTAACCAAATATAATTTTCATATTAAATAAATCTCCACTTTATTCTGCTGATGGTCCAAAAACAACAAATGGAAATCCAAATTTACACATCAAATCTACTTAAATTCAACAGAGAAAGTGGCTTCAGGGGGAAAAAAAAATCCAGCAATAAAACTTCCTACAAAATGAAGGCTCTATTTATTTGGTCTTTGCGTTTGGCTTTTCTCAAAGTGGACACATGCCTAGCACACATCCTCTTAAGACGACATTCCAGGTTCCCACACCCCATCTCTGCCCAGCCAACTCCTGCACCAGGTGGAGAAAACTCACGCCCACCTCCACTTCCACCTCCAGAGGGCGCTCCTGACCTGGCGTAGGACTCTGGCCCACCCTAGGAGCTGCGGGGACAGCTGAGCTCAATGGGACCACAGTGTCACCGTGCCCCTTGGCCTCCAAATGTACTGGCTGCTGCTCCCTAGCCCCAGGGAGTAATGACCACACACTACCTCTACAAGTTTTATTCCAAACTAGGGTGAACTGGCTCTGAAGTGGCGGCATGAAGCCTCAAGTCCAGTAATTGAGGCGGGAGGAGACTAGGGCATGGTAACGTGGCTGGAGCAACGAGGCTCCGCTGGCCAGTTGAAGAGACTTTGTTAATGACGGACACAGAACGGCAGCTCCTGAGCCTGATGAGATCAAACAAAGCCCTGCACCTGGTACCAATCTTCTGTCACGAGAACACGCCTGGCCTGGTACCTGCTATCAATCTTCCGACATGCGAGCAAGCCGAGCCTAGGTGATGCCAATCTTCCAGCACGAGCTCAAGTGGGGCCATCTGGATCCACTGAAAGAAGACAGAAAAAGCTGGAAGCAATTGACTTTGCCCTGCTGCCCTCTGGGTCCCGCAGTTCTGTCCTGCTTCCCAGATGTCTCTCTCTTTTCTTCCTCCCAAGCCTCCTCTTCTCTTGAGCACTTCCTTTGTGTTCTTTTCCTTTTGCTTTAGTTTTTGCCTTAAGTTCATCTTAATTTTTCACACTCACCACTTGTTCTGCCAATTCACTGAGCAGAACAATAAGAACCTGGATGGTGCTAGGGTCCTCACATCACCCGTTCACACTATAAAGGCATGTGTGGAAACACGCCAGCATATGCTTCAAAAAGATGTCCTGTCAGCCCCAGGTTTGGAGGGGTTTGTGTCTCCCAGAGCTCCACATGTGGCTCAGTTGCACCTGGTACACTCTCCTCCAAAGTATGTTGTCCCCATGATCCTCCAGCGAGCAGCACAGCCAGGGCTGTGAAAATTTCAAAGTGAGATCTAGGTTTGAAGGTGCCGCTATTCTTCTGTCCCCACTCTGGGCCCACATTTTCACTGCAGTGCTGGCAGTCCTTTTTAGAAGAGGTCAGATCCCTCCTCCCAGGAAACTTGGGGCCCCCGTTTGGCCCAGGGGGATGAGAGAAATGAACATCCACATCTCACCTGGCCAGAAGTATTAGCACCTACCCAGGAGTCTCACATTAAAATTTACAAAAATTCGCCAAAGGGAGAGCCATGCCACCATGGGCCTGAAAGCGGAATGTTGCTGCAGAAATGGGCAAGAAGAGTGGAACATACAGTAGAGAGAAGT